GTGAGTGAGTGAGTGTGTGTGTGTGTGTGTGAGTGTGTGTGTGTGCGTGTGTGTGTGTTTAAGTGGTTCAATCAGAGTATCTGGCAGCTCTCACATGCTGGTTTATTTGCTCGATCTGTCATCAAACACACAATTCACAGCAGCCATTAGATGGATTACATCAACCGAGCAAACAGCCGTCTGTCTGTCTCTGTGTGTATCTGTGTGAGTGAGTGTGTGTATGTTTGTCTGCTTAATTCCTCTTAGCATCATTGATATCTGACCGTCAGTGTTGTGTCTCTCGGTCTGTGTGTGAGTGTGTATGAGAGCATCTGTGCTCACATCTGAAGTGCAAATCAAGCATTTTGAAGTGTTCCTGCAGCTCAAACAGTGGATCACGACACTGGCAACCCTAAAGTCAAAGTTCAATTCACAGAGAATGCATGAACTGATCAAAATGTGCCTTCAATACAACGTAAGCTGCTTTGGATAAAATTCTGACAAATGCATAAATGAAAATGATGCTGGGGTATTCCACACACACACACACACACACACACACACACACACAGTCAGCTGAGCATGTGAGTGCAGGTGTGTGTGAGTCTGACTAGAGCAGAGATGTGCTGACTGTCCAGTTTCCATGGGAACATCTTCATCTGCGCAGCATTCATGTGTCAGAGTGTGTGTTCATGTGTGTGTGTGTGTCCTTCACGGCACCTGTCTGCTGCGCGTCACGCCTGCGCTCATATCACATCAGCAGCCTTGACTGAGAGTGTGTGCTTTCATCAATCAAGAACCAAAAGATCACATTTACAGAATACTAAACAAGCAGAATATCTGATCCTGTCTAAAAATATTAAAGCTATTATTAAAGACATCTTACACACTGTCCACGTGTCTTGTGTTCTCATGTCATTGCATTGAGAAGAACATTATTTAAAATGATTATTTTTCCTCCTGCAGACGTCACGAACAGTGGAGAACCTTCCCAGGAGTGGCCGGCCGACCAAAATTACCCCAAGAGCACAGCGACGACTCATCCAAGAGGTCACAAAAGACCCCACAACAACATCCAAAGAACTGCAGGCCTCACTTGCCTCAGTTAAGGTCAGTGTTCATGACTCCACCATAAGAAAGAGACTGGGCAAAAATGGTCTGCATGGCAGAGTTCCAAGACCAAAACCGCTGCTGAGCAAAAAGAACATAAAGGCTCAACTCAGTTTTGCCAGAAAACATCTTGATGATCCCCAAGAATTTTTGACGAGACAAAAGTTGAACTTTCTGGAAGGTGTGTGTCCCATTACGTCTGGCGTAAAAGTAACACTGCATTTCACACACACACACACACACAGAACATCTGGGTTTGATCCGGATTAAAGATCGGGGTAACTTACTTCTGATCCAAACCCGCTTGCTCTGATCCCGGCACAACACTGCATTTCAGCAAAAAAAAATTCTTTCTCTCTCCTCTGTATCCTCCGTATGTTCTATGTTCTGTATTCAATTATATTTAATTTAATTTAGTTTCATTTAATTTTTTTACCTCTCGGCGGGACCTCGGCCCTCTCACACGCGGCTCCTCGCTGCCGGAAGACACCAGCTCAACCGTGACGCACAACGCACGCAACTTCCGCTGACAGCAGCGTTCACGAGTTCCGCTGCCAGAGATGCTTCTGTTTCGAGGAGCGAGCAGCATCCGGGGCTCCGTCTTTAGCGGAAGCGTTTATAAACCTAAATGTAGAACAAGAACATTCACACAGAAAATATACTTAAAGAGGATTTATAAAATGTACTCGCTGTTATAGTCATAGTGGCATCAAAGGAAAAATTAAATTAAATTAAATATATCCAGGGAATATAAATTAACAAAAGCAAAGCTATGTATATTCGTTTAGCCTTTTTTATTATCTTTTTAAAATTAATTAATTTTTCGATCTTTTTTTGTTAATGCATAGGCTATCTTTTCTTTGTCTCAGTAATTCCGCTGCAGAGCCGGTGTTCGTGAATTCAGTCCCCTGTCCCCCTCACAGCGCCTGCGCAGCTTCACAGTGTTGCCAAGTCCGCGGTTTTCCGTGGTACCACCAGTCATGTGTTGGCAACCCACCAGTCAATAAAGAATATTATTGCCCAGCGTGTATTATCTGAATCAGAATATTATGAAAGTTTTGTAAATAGTTTTTGCTTGCTTTTCAAAATTGCACTTGTATTGACTTTGTGTTTCTAAGATTGTATATTTTAGTTTGTATGGTTTAAAATCTGCTTTTCTGTTGTACTGTATTGTACTATTGTATTTTTAAAAAGTGATTAATTTATTTTTGATTGTGATTTCCCACTGTTTAAACTTAATGTCATTAAAATGACCAGAACGTCTTGAAATTGTGTAGTTTTGTAAAAAATAAATAAAGTGTATCTTTAAAGATATGTTCCCCCTGTGTGTTTAGTGTCTTAGTTTAAGGCACTATTCTGCAGATAAAAGTGGCTAGACATAATTATGAGATTTTAGAAGCACATCAGGAGCATCACTCTGAGTCACCTAAAATAATAAAAGAGAGACTAGTCAGTGTGCAATATAGTTGATTTGTCTGCTGGCTGTCTCACGACAGTCGCGGACGCTTTACGGCAGAGCCAGAGGCTGCGAGGTGAGCGTGAGCTGCTTACTTTCTTCATGAAGCAGCAGAGACGCGGAGCTAATGACGAATACACCAGTGTTTAAACGCACAGCAGTTCTGTTCGAGCTCAGTGTTCACGGCACACGTGTTTAAAGCTAAAGGTAAGAGAGTGTAGTAGCAGAGGAGTAACGCTGTGTTTACCTGCGCAGGTGATGAGCTCGGATCCGGCTGCTGTCTGCTGAGCTTGAGTCGTGTTTCTCTGACCGGGGGGTAACGCGTTACACCTAATCACAGTACCGTTTAAAAAAGTAACCAGTAAAGTATTACTCTTTTATTGCTGAA